ATACTCGTTCGTGGCTCGTCGTCCCCCCGGGCACAAACACACACACACACACAGACACACCCCTCCACTCCTGCCGTCTTCCCCCCGCAGCTCTGGGTTCCTCCGACCCGGTTTGTGCCCGCCACGCTCTGGCCCTGTCCTCCCTGGTGGCGCGGGACCCGGCGGGATGTGGCAGCTTCATAGCGGCGGTGGAGCCGCTGCTGAAACACAACGTGGAGACGGCCAAGAGGACGGGTAAGGGTGGGGTATGGGATGGGGGCTCTGTTGGTGGGGAAATGAGAGGTTGGTAGGTTGGTGAGCGTAAAAGGGGTTTTAGAGCCCAAGGGAAACGCGAAATCCCGGAATTGATAAAATTGTGGTTCTTGCATGGAATTTTTCTCATTATTACCCTAGCATTATTACTACCACTGCCACTACCACCGCTCCCCTTTCCACCTCACTCTTGCCCTGGCAGCAGCTTCACTCGTTCGTGGTTCGTCTTTCCCCCCCCCCCCCCATTCTTTCCAGGCGCCTTGCATCTGGGCATCCTCCCCGCCAAGCGCTCGGGCGGCTCTGGCGGCAACACCCCCGGTCTGGCTCAGGGCCCGCCCGACAGGTGAACTCAAGCTCCGTTTTCATTCTATATTCACGCGACATTTATCCTTATTGGAATAAACTTTAATTTTTTTAATTGATTAAATTGTCGTCGATTTAGTTTAGTTCCTTAAAGTTTTATTCCTGAGCCAGGGAGAGAATGCTCGCGCTATGACCAGTTTTCTCACGATGACCAGTGTCAGTGATTCATGTTTCGTTTTCTTTTTGTTTCCTCTTCTCTTCTTCCTCTTCCTCTTCTGCTTCCTCCTCTTCCTCCCTCGGCTGTCATGCTTTGGATGTCAGCAGTAGAGCCGTTTTCCTTTCGTGCGTTTTCGTATTTTGTGCACACGTTAATTTCCACCCCCTTCCCCCCTCCCCTCTCTCCATGCACACGGTCCTTTCACGTCCTCCACCTCCCTTCGTCCTCCCCCTCCCCCTCCA